TGGCTTTTTGTTAAGAACTACTAGAAAGGCCAAACACCGTGGGTTGGTCAATTTGACTGTATTCCCGTTTAACATTTTAATAAGAAATGCAATAGATAAGCGAAATATGGATAAAATCAATAGGAGAATCGTGTACATCAGTTCCATTACCTATCCCAATACTCATTTGCAGATGAACGTTCTTCTTGTAGGAAAATTTTGAAAATAATTATATAAATGAATGAAAAAGAATACGATGTAGACCACAACGATATTCGAAATCCGGGTTTTAGTATTGCCAATATTTAGCTAAGGGACAAGCTGTTAAACTGAGCCTGCTTTTTCGTGAAAATAATATCACAATGCACATGCTTTTTACATGAAGTTATTAAATACAAATATAACAACATATTTGTTTACTTGATTTTTACGAATAAAAATAAAACTAATAACACAACATGAAATTAACTGCTCCTTCCATAGGCAAAAATAAAAAAGCATTCCATAAGAGACGACGCCGCTCACCGGCGTCGCCAATAATAGAATTCTTATCACCGTATGTTTGGTTTCATTAATTGGCTTGTGATAAAAGCCGCTTAAGAACACGTTCTTACACTAACTGACACAGTGTTTTCAGTAAGTCTTGGTAAAAGGAACGCTGCTTTGTTAAAAAAAAAAGTTGCAGTAATGTCGTTATGTCTTAGCAAATAATTCGGAGTCTCTTTCAAACAGAAATATCAGGTAGAAAAGCATATCCCAAGTAGACTGCACGAGGGATTTCGGCGTAGCAAGGCCGTCTTTTGCTCAAGCTTTTTTGCTTTTCTGTGCATTAAATGTATACATTTTTGTGAATAAAAGAAAACAAGATTCTTAGGCAAACTGCTTAAACACCATTTGTCTAATTTCGTTGCGAATTCGAATTCGTACAAATTTGGAGGGTTTGCTGTACAGAAATAGCTGGCTCAAAATAAAGAAAAACAGAATCCATAAAGAAAACCCAACACGGCAAAATTGAAAATGTTGCAGGCTCGGTTTGATTGAGCCTGTTCATGGACGGTACTGGAAAGTGCAAGTTACCGTCCACGCCCCTAGCACCGGATTCAGCAGAATTCAACATTCACGAACTGGTACAATTTTGAATTTAGAATAATCCGCAGATGTGTTCATATGACGGTTAAGTGTCATTCCATGAAAAGCGGCATATGGTCCCCAAGTAAAAAAATGCGTGTGCCCTAAACGAGAAAACAATCAAAAACCTAAATAAAGTAAAAATGCGTATTGTGCACTTACGGTAGAAATGGCTCTACACTTGAGATAATTGGGTATCATAAGGCTAATTAAGATAAAACATTAGGCCTCTTTAAGACAAGTTTCTAATTCAAATTGAACGATCATTTTTGATTACTCAATAAATCTGCATTGGACGCATATTGTCCCGCTTTTGCGGTGCTCTTGTTAGATTATACATTGGAACTTTCGAAAATACGTGATAGCTGTTTAATAACTCTAATTTAAAAAAATGGAAAAAACACGTTCCATTTCGGCTTACAGATTATTTTCTAAATGTTTCAAATATTTTTCCCAAGTAATGAAAGAAAATAATGTCTGTTTCATAATTTTCATTTACTCACAAGATTTATAATCATTCATTCATACATTTGATTATACATATTTTTCATTCTTTCTTTCTTCTTTAGTCAATTAATTTGTTCATCTATTCAGCCGCTCATTATTAATTCATTCGTTCTTTCATTTGTTCGTTTATTCATTATTTATTTATTTTTATTAATTTATTTATTAATTGGTTGGTTTCAACAAGAATTTGAATTAAAACCAGCCATGTTGTTTATTTCCCAGTATACATCATTTAAATTAGGTGTCCTTCTGTGTATATATTTAGCTACGAGTTAGGCATAACCTAAAGTTACCAACATTCCCGTGGCTAGCCTGATATTTTAAAGCATAAAATAATTCTTAATTAATTTGGAAATAACTAGTGCTTCGCAATTCACCCGTTCGGCCATAGAGAAACATTATTGTTAACCAAATTCGTTTGTTTTTGTTTTTGTTGTTGTTGTTTTTAATTTATCAATTAAATATTATTGGTAAATGAATTGAATTTTCGAAGAATGATACGTGTTTAAAATATGTATAAGCAAATATCAAGAAAGTTCATACTTTCCTAAATTCAGACAAATCTGCATGAATATTTTCTTTCTCTAGCTGATACTTATATAAATAAAGTATTATATTTTCGAAAAAAAAACTTTTAATCAACAAAATTGCACATTTGTCTTTGGTATTCAGGGATAAATTACACATTTTTACGTAATTTCATGCAACAAATGTGCTCTTATCTAAAATGCAGACAAATGAATATATAGTTTTGACTAGATTTATATCCTTTCTAACTTTATATATTGTTATTACATGGCATGAGCTCAAGACATATCTGTAAGTTTTGTTTTGAAGACAAAAAAGAAAACATTTATACTGCTACAATAGTTTATGAAATTATTTATAGCAGTATGATGATTGATGTTTAAAGTAATAGCGTATTATATGCATCCAAAGTCTCGCATTTTAAATGGATTTTTATATCATGCAAAAAACGTAAATGACATATTTAAAATGGATCTTTATATCATGCAAGAAAACGTAGATTTGACATTTGAAATGAATTTATATCAGGCCAAAAAACGCCAATGCCACATTTTAAATAGATTTTTATATCATGCAGATAAACGTCAATGTCAAATCTTAAATAGATATCTACATCATGCAAGTTGAAAACACGAAAATACGACATACAATACACAATATATTGGAACACAAATGTCTTAATGAGACTCTATGTTTTTAAGAAATGGCACAAATCTATTGTATTGACCGCGTTACTACTAAGTGATATGCTGTTGAATTGAATTATGAAAATGTCCATGGATATGTTTTATAATATCTTCTGGATTGTATGCTAAGGGCGCAAGTATGCGTAGAACATTTACATATGAGCCGCGTCATGACAAACCAACATAATCGGTTTGCGACCAGCATGGATCAAGACCAGCCTGCGCGTCCGCGCAGTCTGATCAGGATACATGCTGATCGCTTACAGACCAAGTAGAGAAACTGATAGCGAACAGCATGGATCCTGATCAGACTGCGCGGATGCGCAGGCTGGTCTGGATCCATGCTGGTCGCAAACCCATTATGTTGGTTTTGTCGTGACGCGGCTCATATAAACTATGTCAAAGAGCTTTAATTAAAACAAAACTTTGCAAGACACTCAACACGGAAAAAGGAAAATCATAATGTTGCAGACTCAATGGATGGAGGGAAATTGTTAATGCAAGGTACCCCATTATCGACCAAGTACTAGCTTAAGTTTAAAGTTTTTTATCCAGACTGAAGGAAAGTAAGTTCCTAAAAATATAATTCTTTCAAATTGAATAATTTAAGTAAGTCGTGGCTACGACATAGTATCTCCTGCGCACGAGATAATTAAAACACACACACACGTCACCTTTGTGCCACCGTTCATATCGATTCAGTTCGATTTTTTTATGTTCTATTTTCACACAGTCAAAGGGGAAATTAATCTTTCTTTCAAAACATAATAATTTTTACTGAGTTGCTTTTCCTTCTTGCATGTGATTAACGGTATATTAACATGTAGACAGTAAATTTTATACTGCTTTATACTTAAATTTGCAAAGCTTATGTACGAGCTCTGGTGGTTATTTAATTCATTGCATGATTATTGTGTTGATTTATTTTGGGTAGTGATTCATAAAATGCACATAATTATACAATTTTGGCATGATATGGTACTTATAATAGTGCAATCGTTTTATATAATATCATTATATAGCTTAAAAGAACTGTATGCTGTAATTAAGGATGTGACAACTTTTTTTTATATATGTACGTGTATATAATTATTCTTCTAAAACAATTTCGAAACACCCAAGAATATGTTAAATATAATTATACGCAAATATTTATACGCATTATAAGTAGTCATTAAAATATATGCATCACTTTCTTATTTTAAAAAAATGGCTTATAATTGTTTTATCCCCTACCTTTACTTACATCAAATGCAAATTCTGTAATATCTTTACAAATAATGCTTATTGGAACTTACAATATTGTTAAATCTTTATTTGAGCATTATATTTACGAAACAAAAAACCCATAAAAACTTGGGCGTCACATGATCTTTAAAGATCCAATTTATTGGATTGTTTTATATGTCTTTGAAAGTTTTTTTTTTCGATTCAGCTTATTGGAGATGGTACGGTTCTTTTAGGGTGTTTGCAAGAATTAGACGGCAACTGCCTAATTCTGTTCAATTTGTTGAAATTAAACCATAATGGAGGCCTTAGAGTGTGTCTCCAGAACAAGTTTAACACTTCCTTAAGTCAAACACGTAAACTTTTATTTCAATGAAGTAGAGATGACTTTATTGTAGATAAATTAAAATGTTAATATCTTAAAGGCATAGTTAAGCCTGTTAAATATGCATCAATAAAATTTGAAATCAGTTTATTGTTTTGCTTACAGAAATAATAAAATATCAGATTCATAGATGAAAGGTCAATGTTAAATCGTTTTAAAAATGAATTTAGCGGAAATATCGTGAATTTGAAAAGAGTTTTGCAAAGTAAATGTGAATTTTTAATTTTTATCACTATAGACAATTTCCTACGACCGTAGTGTCTAAATAGTCATTTTAAGTTTTTCTGTATCATTCATGGTCCTGGGTTGATTGATAGTTTTAATTGTTTATTCGCTTGTATGACACTTTAAAAACGTTGGAAATTTTCACAGATCAAGGACGTAGTGTACAGGTAATGACAATTACTTATTTTGTTTCTAATCTTTTTATTTCTTTCTTCTTCTTTTTTTTCATTTCTATATCGGAAGTACAAGTAATCTTTATTCCATGTATGTTGACATGATATATTAACTTATTTCAAAACACGAAACGAAATTGTGAACGAAGTTTTTCAAGTAATATGACGTTCCACTTAATGGGCATACTAGATATCGAATGTGTTAAGGGTAAGTATGCTATTAAAAACATACGCATTTGTTTCATATACAAAATCATGTTAACCATGTGCTTAACGTGAGTTATTTAATAAGTTATCAGGTACTTAAGTGACCTTATGATCATTCAAGGGTGATCAGGTGAAGGTCAAAATAAAATTACATATTTCAATGTTATAATTTACATTGAATGAACGCTATATAACTAGTGTGTCCTAAGAAAAATTCTGTAAGTTACCATCGAAATATATATTTTCCTTAATATTTTCGAATATCAACCATTGGCCGGTGACATAATAAAAGTAAATCATTTGAAACATATAGTCAATTTAGCTCCATTTGAAAATGAAAGAAAGTAAGCAAAATGTCTCTTTAAGTATTTTCATTACAGGGGCCTAATAAAATGAGACACCAATCACCCGACGAATGCATTGCACGAAAAGGTTAAACATGAGTTTATTTAACTAGTTTTTATATTTGATTCTAAAAGACATCAGTTATAATATCAAAACCTTATATTATCATGTCACTGTCTGTAAATTATTTACAATAGGAAAGGAATTTATATAGTCGGTTCTGTATTCCAACTTAATAAAAAGATAAGCAAAACTCCTGCTAAAAGTGTTGCTGTACATAACCATTTTTAGCTCGCGCCAGGTAAAACAATGCGGAAAAAATCGCATATTATGTGATGATGTTTTATTAAAAAACAAACAAAAACAACATCATTGTTGACACTTATATTACAAATGTAACTCTAGAGATTTTGTGATATTCATTTAACTTTTGAAGCTTGATGCTGTTATTGTTTAGATTAGTACAAGAAGTGAAAATTAACCTTTTATTCTCTATATTAATCAAATATATCATTATTACATGAATTATCAGATCAAAATGTCATATTTATATTATTATTTCAGACCATAAATCGGCTGTGCGGGTCATAAAGTTTGTAGTGTCCATTTTCACCGTAGTTGGTGTAATAAAGATTCTAGATACACGATGTACGTATTTCTTTCAGTTTCGACTAATTAAATTAGAATTTTATATCCGCTTTCTGTGATTTAAATATCAATCACCATCTTGCTGTTATGTATTTTGTATTCAATTGAACAAAACAGGTTAGATGGAATTTAATGTATTTTGTTCCCAACAAAAGATTTCTATTATTTTTATTTATGGAAATATTATTAATGGAAATCCATTTGCAATTTAGTTCAAAGCAAACTGTTTCTCAATACATGTATACTCAAGAACAGTATAATATCCCGAATATTAAACACTTACATTCAAACTTGAATTCTTCAAAACCACCTCAGACACAGTTTCGGGTGTGAAAAAAAATGTTAAAAAAATCAGTATCTGATTCTTTATTATTTTTTTATAATCTAGTCCCCCGCCCCTACAACAACCTTTCCACAATCCTTTACCAACAGGATTTGCTGTATGTCGTTTACTTGTTTATTTACAGATTCTGAATCAGCACCCGCAAGGGAGGTAACTTTCGGAAGTACGTAAATTTTGTATTAAATAAGAATAGAAACAGTTATCAAAATTAATAAAGCACTCCTTCATCGTACCATTATCGCATAAAAAGAAATACATGTAATATATAATACAATTAAACGTGGCCATCAAACAATGTCCAAGGTACCTCAATATGAGCGTCTTTATTTGAATCGTATGTTTGTAAAGGCAAAATACTTTTTTCTTCTTTCGTATATTTCAGATTATGGTCCTGTCGAATGTGAAGACAGATTTAAATCGACACTTGCAGAAAATTTAAACGTCGTGAAAAACTATCCTAGAGGTACAGCAGACGAATTCATGTGGAAAATTGGCGGGAATTTGTCTGCACCAGACGACATTCCAAAATTCCCAGTTATCGTTACTGCTATAGATTCTTTGCATTATCCCGAATCCATGGGGTTGTTTCGGTCAATACACCAAGGTATTATGGGAAACAGGAAGTACAGTGGTCTAGTGAAAATAATTGTGTACGATCTTGGGCTAACTTTCCGCCAGCTGAAAACGGTAAATTGACTTATTTAAACATGTTTATTTTATAACGCTGGTGGTACAGTAAATGTAACACTTACTCAAAAAATCAACGTAAATATTCCTCAAACTAAAAGTTATCATTTTTCCAGGATAGTATATACATGTTTTAAAGACAGAGCGCTTTACTCACAGCAAATACTTGTCAAGAATATATCTGCCATCGGACTTGCCAACGATATAACAGTGTTATGGGTTATATATGGTGGAACTTATATTTTTCCCCCGTTAACTAATTAAAAGTTCACAGTTTTGTTAATGTTTTGTTATTGAACATTTTATTAACCATATTCGATCATGATATTCAATTTTTAACGATGACTTATACCTTTTATATTACGATTTTAGTTGAAGACAAAGTGCAGATGTGAAGTGCGATCATTTCCGTTCACGGAACTTCCGGAACATGTCCGAACAATAGAAACATTTGCCTTTAAACCAATTATAATACAGGTACTGTACCCTCAAATAATCTCTTCATCATACATTTTTTATTTCAAACATATCGAAACATAGGGTTTTCTTTGTTCATCTTTACAGTAAAATTGTTTAATTTCAAAATGTTTTAGCTTTAAATACTTCAAAATGCTGTTATTGGTTCTGCTTTCAACAAGTGACGTAATTTTTCATGTTGGAAAGTATTTCAAGCTTGCTTACAAATGATTTCTGATTCAGTCTACGAAAATTTCTTATAATTGATAAACTTATATCCACAGGTGCTTGTGTATTTTTCATTTGTAATATATCTTAATGTTTGATATATGTTTTTATATCAATTTCTTTCATTCCCCGCAAAAAAAATAATAAAAATGATACTAAATGTATAGGTAATGTTAACTGGAATTTCTGCAACTTTCTGAATTTTAATGCATTTATAGCGTGAAATCGTTTATGATGTCATTGACAAAACATTTTTTTTTTCATTTATTTATTTGTAGCAAACAAAATTTGCAGAGGAAGGTAACAGACAGGTTAACCAGTATTTGATTAAAGATAGCAACTTTATATATATATTTTAAAATAGCATGCATTTGCAGATTGAAAATATGTTTTAAAGCCAAATAAAACTGTTTGATGTGAGTGGTCACGTACATTTAAATTTTATTATTTTATTTACAGATTCTACTGGTTGAATTTGGTTTTGTTTGCTGGGTAGATGCTTCAATACGTTTCAAAACGCCCGATATTGACGCAGGAATACAGTTCGCTATTGACAACAGTTTACTTTTTTACGTCAGACGTGACGTCAGCAAATCATATACAGTCGCGAGACAAACTGATAGCAAAACGTTTACATTTTTAAAAGAAAACATATGCAAGTTTAGAAACTTTACCGAGCTGGTCGGTGGCTTTTTGATGTTTCACTATGACACGGTTTC